TCTCAATATGTTGCCAGGTGCCAGGCTGGAGTGCAGTGGCAGGATCTCGGCTCACTGCAACCTCCGCCTCCTGGGCTCAAGCAATTCTCCTGCCTCAGCCTCCCGAGTAGCTGGGACTATAGGTGCACACCATCATGCCCAGCTAATTTTTGTATTTTTAGTAGAAACGGGGTTTCACCATGTTGGCCAGGATGGTCTCAATCTCTTGACGTCATGATCCACCCGCCTCGGCCTCCCAAAGTGCTGGGATTACAGGCGTGAGCCACTGCGCCCAGCCGATAGTATCTTTTTTTAAAAAAAAAAATTGATTTTATTAATGGCATAAATCATTGATACTGTAGTAAAAAAAAAATTGATTTTAAGTGGAAAGCTTCATAAATGTGTGTCATCCTTGCATGGGGCTGTGCTAATGTTCTCTGTGTCATTCCAATTTTAATATATGTGCTGCCAAAGAAAGCAAAATTTCATTATTATTAATAGCTAACATTTATTAAGTGCTTACCATGTACTGGGCACAATAAATGTATTTCATATGAAGTAGGTACTATTTTTATCCCTATTTTTTGGATGAGGAAATTGGGATATAGAAAGATGAAGTAACTTCCTAAGATCACACAGGTAGAGAAGTGGGATGGTTTGACTCCAGAGCCCCATTCTTTTTTTATTTTAATTTAATTTTTAAAAATAAAGACAGGGTCTCACCATGTTGCCTAGGCTTGTCGCAAACTCCTGAGCTCAAGCAACCCTCCTGTCTCAGCCTCCGGAAGCACTGGGATTACAGGCATGAGCCACTGTGCCTGGCCCAGAGCCCCATTTTCAACAGCTACATTGTATAGGTAATGCTATTCTCTATACTATTTTTATGCTTCAAACATTTCACGATAAAAATATCAACATATAAGATTTATAAATGTGAATATTTGTGAAATGAAAATAAAGTTTCTATCATTATTAGTTACTAATGATAAACTAACAAAAAATAAGACCTCTTCCAGTTCTAACAGTTTATGATTCTATGAAATCTAAACAGGAAAATTCATAAATTTAACAGGTCTTCTCTACTGCTCACAATTTGCCAACCCTAAGATACATGTCTAGAGAATATTAATAATTATATGGACCTTTGGGTTTTTTTTTTTTTTTTTTTTTTTCTTTAAGAGAGAAGGTCTTACTCCATCATCTAGGCTGGAGTGCAATGGCACATTCACTGCAGCCTTGAACCACTGGGCTCAAATGATTCTCTTGCCTTGTCCTTCCAAAATGCTGGGATTACAAGCATGAGCAACTGTGCCTGGCCTGTACCTATGTATTTATATCTAGGTATCTAGGTACAGATGCACACATATTGATTTAAACATTTCATATATCCACTGTACGTGTGGGGTTACTATTTACCTGGTGCTTCTCAGATTCCTGCATTCCCCGCGGAACACGATCCTGTGGTATAAAAGTGTGATATAAACATCTATTTTGTTATTAAAAATATGAGAGAGTCTCACTCACCTATAGCAACAGTCTTAATATCAACAAGATAAGCCAATTTCTTATTATCTTCTGTTCCTCGTTGACACCTCTCATTAATACGAACACTGAAACATGAAGGGTGAGGTAAGGCAAAATGGGCTTAGGTAGTTGGGATGTTTATTAAAGGCTCTGAAGTATCACATGGGATGAAGCTTTTATTTATTTATTTGGTTGCCCCAGCTGGAGGGCAGTGGTGTGATCACGGCTCACTACAGCCGTGATCTTGACTTTCCAGGCTCCAGGTGATTCACCTCAACCTCCTCAGTAGCTGGGACTACAGGTGTGTGCCAACATGCCTGAATAATTTTTTGTATTTTTAGTAGAGAGGGGGTTTAACCATGTTGCCCAGGCTGGTCTTGAACTCCTGGACTCAAGTAATCTGCTTGCCTCAGCCTCCCGAAGTGCTGGGATTATAGGCGTGAGCCACCATGCTTGGCTGAAGCTTTTAGATTAACTGGAAGACACAGAATTTAAGAGTCCAAAAGGAATTCTTTTGGGTTTCAGGGATTCAGAGAATCTTGTAAGGTTACCTGATGAGATGGGGGTTCATGAATTCAGTGCGTACAGAACCCAAAGTGTCATTATTCCCATATTCCACCAGGGTTAGCTCTCCGGCATTGAAGATCATGCATACCTGGGAAAAATGGAGTTGTTATACGGTGGAAAGGCTACATGAAGAAAAACAGATGTGCGAGGTGTACTGTCAGTTCAAGGTGACTCCCACTTTTCTCCTTGTTCTCCTACCCTGCCAATTTCATTCTCCCTGTTTCTTTATCTGCTGTTTCCCTATCCCTTGCAACTTGCCATCTTTATGACACAGAAGCTAGAAGGAGGCTTATGGAGATGGTGATAGTGAAGCAAGCTCTACTCACATTCTCATTTTCAAAGAAATACTTCTCATTGCCACCAGATCCCAGCCAGGCTATCTGTAAAAGAGAAGACTTAAGAAGCAATGTGGATAATTACCCAAGACAACGCCAAAAGAATGACAGGTTGGGAAGCAGAAGGACCATATTTAGGGAGGCTTTGGCACTACACAAAAGAGGTGCTGTATCAGAATTTGCTCTGGTCCCTGAGAGGAACCAGAGAGATGTTTCTGAGTGATGGCATCAAAACAGTCCAAAGACGGTGATTCATACTCTGGAATTATAAACCTCCTGAGTCTCTTTCCCTGAAACAAGGTCCCCTACACCTGAATGTTGAACCTTCTCATGGAGATCTTACCCCTAGGGATTTTGGGTCCCCACAAGTAATAAGCCAAGATGCCCCATTCCCGACCCTACCCTCAATTTTTGTTCCTACCTCACTAAGACGATTAGTGTTCAGGTCCCCCAGCAGCAGTGTGTCTGATGTGTGGGCCACCAAGTAACGTTCCTTTCCCAGGATTTTCACCTCTTCCACCTCATAGCCATAGTGTGACTTGAGCACCACTCGGGTTCCTGATGACAGGTTCTTCACAATCACCTTGGTAAAGGACAAGTCTGAGCCCCTTAGGCTTCCCCAGCCCAAAAGAAGGGTGAACGACCATGCCCTTTGCCCACTTCCACAGTCTAAACAAAGCTAATATCTTGTTCCTCCTTGGGTGTAGGATATTGTTCATAGTAATGATACCTTACATTTATATGGGGATTTACTATTTATGAAAGGTTTTCCTATATTAGCTCTTTTGATGTTCATAATTTACATAATTCTGAAAGTTCCACTGGGTAAAACCAATCACTGTATGTTCTCATAGTCTTGGTACAAACCTTATGTATCATTGATCACAGTGTATGTATTGATCGACTGACTGACTGACAGGGTCTTGCTATGTTGCTTGGGCTGGCCTTGAACTCCTGGGTTCAGGCAATCCTCCTGCCTCTGCCTCCTGAGTAGCTAAAACTACAGGCATGTGTCACTGCAACTGGCTAATATTATTTTTGATATGTCTGTGTCCTCTGTTATAATGATCTTGATCCAAGGGACAATGTCTTACAGATAATTATCTGTGTATTCCCAATGTCTAATACTGCTGACACATAGTAGAGAATTAATACAAGTTTCTGGAAAGAACAAAAGAATGAAGAAACCAATGTATGATAAATGGAAGGACAGAGGTAGAAAAAAGAGAAAAGTGGGCTCAGGAACTGAGAAATTAACTTGCAACATCAAATACGTAAGCTCAGAGGCCTTAAAACAACAGAGTTCACATTTATAATCCTGTTTATCAAATTGCCCAGTTGACAGTGTGTAGGCAGTAAAGTTTTAAACCAGGAAGGCGTAAGCGGCAATCTCTGCACACCTTAAGCCTAGTGCTTAAAAGTTTTCTTACAATAAGCTGCAGGAACCACAGCAGGAAAGATACCAGGGTGTTGCCCTGACATATTCTGTTGCCCAGAACAGCTCTTCCAGAGGGATGAAGATTAAATTTGACACTATGGCTGTGGCCAGAAGGCAGGGAAATGTTAGATATGTATCAGGATGAACGAGCCATGCAAGGTCTCAGTGCAGTAGGCTACCATCCTGCTTACCTGGCTAGGTCCCACATACGTCAGCTCAAACTTGTTCTTGTAAATGCTTCTTCGAAGGCAGCAGTCAAACTGTTCCACCCCACCACACAGTGTGCCCTAGAAGGGAAAGTGACAGCATTAAAGGTCACACACATAGTACACTGGCATGGGGAGAGTATCCACAGACATCCTCAACACCTAGGCTCTAGAATCTAGAGAACGGTTGGCCGTAAAAGAGCTAGCAGTTTTTGGAAGTACCGAAAGGAAACCAGCTACAGTCATTGGACTCAAGGGCACCACATATTAATGGGATAAAAGGGAGAAACTAGCCCTGCCTACACACAATTCTTTGTCCCTTTTGTGACCTCCAATAAAGTTTGAATTTCTCCTTCCTGCCTCTAACACCAGAATGTTAGGTTAGGGTCAAAAGGGAAGAGGAGATTCTCTAGTGTCAGGGGAGAGCGTTTAGGATAAGGCAGGATTTTTTTCTAATTTGGTGAAAGTCACCAATCCAGAAAGGGATTACTAGTAACACACCACACAGAGCCGTGAGCCATCCCGCTTCCAGGCCAAGGCAGTGATGGTGTATAAATTGGCAATCTCCTTGGGCTTTGCCTCTTCCCAGATGCTTCTTTGAGGGCTCCAGTTGAACACCCGAAGCCTGAAATAAAGTATATGGCTTTTAGAAGAGATCGAGGCTGAGCTGAAGGATGCAAATAAGCTGATAACCAAAGGAAATTAGTCTTGCTCTAACAGAAAAGAAGGGAAATAAAAAGAACACACAAGCTAGGCAGTCTAGCAGGAGAGGACACAAAGGTGCACAGGAAGTAAGCTGGGAAAATCAAGGCAAAACTAAAACAGAATAAGAGTGAGGGGAGCAGAGAAAACAAAAAGATCAGGGCAGGTGAGAAAAACGAGCTATTAGGAGCAAAAAATATGCAACAAGTAGGTGAGAAAAATGAGCTATTAGGAGCAAAAAAATATGGAACAAGGAGATAAATCATAGGAGGCAGTGAAGAAAGAACAGAACACCAGGAGACATAAGATTGAAGGGGATAGAAAGACAGGACTGACAAAGCTGGGGTTAAACACATGCCAGAGAAGTGATGAGACCTGGGACATGGCTGTTTATCTGCTGTTCCAACATTCATTCACTCATTTGCCAAACATCTGAGCATATCTTAAATGTAGCATACAGATTCTAATCTAGGCACTGGAGATAAAAGGATGAATAACAAGCCCCCTTCTCAAGGACTCTTTGATTTACCAGATAGATGCAAACAACAAACTGTAATATGATGTGAGAAACTCTAAGCAGTATCAAAGCGGGCAATGGAAACAGATCATAGAGATGAATTCTGCTGTGGAAGCGCAAGGAGAGGCACAGAGACAAAACAAGAGCACAGGACATCTGGAACTGGCTGCACACCCATGGATGGTGAGAACAGGACGAGGAAAGCACATGAATTACAATCTGAGAATCTCTTTCAACAGACACTTGATTTTTGTCCAGTCTCCCACTCTGGCTCGGAATAATTTGGCTAAAGCATAAAGCAGGGAGTGTTCACAGGTAAAGTAGGCCAAAGATAAAACTGGAAAGGGGACTCACCTGTCATAGCTTCCTAGCACAACGGACTGGCCCCCAGGACTTGCTACAGCTGTGGTGAACTCCCGCTCCTGAGGGTCACGGCTATAATCAAAAGTTTGCAGCACGTGGCCTTCTTTTCCATAGGCTATAATCCTCCTATCACAGCCTGCAGCCATGATGCTATTGGTTGCCCATGCCAAGGCATAGGGTGGACAGGGGTGGTTAACCAACTTCCCCTAAGACAGACAGAAGGAGAGGGTTTCAATCAGTCTCTGAAGACTCCACCCCAGAAATAATTTCTCACTCTCAACACCTGATACATTCACTCTGACCATCCTACCCTCCAGAAGTCTTTCTCCCAACATTTTCCCATCTCAACACATCCTAATCCTGAACTCTTCACAAACTGTCACACACACACACACACACACACACACACACACACACACACACACTATACAGATGCTTGTTGACTTTGTTCTCTAGAAATCCTCAAAATGCTTGTGTATTGGACATTTTTAATATGCACCTGGCAAAGCTCCTCTGAAAAGGAGATGTCCTACACGTTAACCAACACTGCCTAGGCCCACAAAGAGCATAGGGCTTCTTTTTTTAAGCAGGGTTAAATTTAATTATTATACAAGTAATTCTTTTTTTTTAAATTTTATTTTGATGGAGTCTTACTCTGTCACTCAGACTGGAGTGTAGTGGCAGGATCCCAGCTCACTGCAACCTCCACCTGCTAGGTTCAAGTGATTCTCCTGCCTCAGCCTCCCAAGTAGCTGGGATTCCAGGCACGGGCCACCACACCTGGCTAATTTTTGTATTTTTAGTAGAGTTGGGTTTCACCATTTTGGCCAGGCTGGTCTCGAACTCCTGATCTCAGGTGATCCACCTGCCTTGGCCTCCCATAGTGCTGGGATTACAGGAGTGAGCCACCGTGCCTGATCTATACAAGCAATTATTATTTTTTTTTTTTGAGATGGAGTTGCGCTCCTGTTGCCCAGGCTGGAGAGCAATGGCTTGATATTGGCTCACTGTAACCTCTGCTTCCCGGGTTCATGCGATTTTCCTGCCTCAGCCTCCCAAATAGCTGTGATTACAGGCATGTACTACCATGCTGGTTAATTTTTTGTATTTAGTAGAGACAGGGTTTCACCTTGTTAGTCAGTCTGGTCTCAAACTCCTGACCTCAGGTGATCCACCCGCCTTGGCCTCCCAAAGTGCTGGGTTTATGGGCATGTGCCACTGTGCCCGGCCTACAAGTAATTCTTAATGTAAATGATTAAAATATATCAGTATATAGAGTAAAACATGAAAATTTCCTTTTTATCTCCCATCTTTTTCCTTTCCTCTCTCCAGAGGAAATGGTTAACTCTTTTTTCTATAAATTTACATACATATATACATATATATATTTTATGTAATATATATGTATGTTTTATGTAAATAGGAATAATTTTCACTTTTCATTCCCCTAAGAATTTTTATTTCCCTTTGTT